GTTGTGCTGTGCTTGTTTGTTTTCTTTGCCGTCTCTCACCGCGGGGAGTCGGCGTGTCTAAGAAAGCACGCAGAAAATGAGGACATCAGTTTGAGTGTCACATGTGTGTTTGTTCCCAGAACATTAGTTCAAAAGGTATCAAGATTGTGTTTTCAAACTGATGTTTACTGCAGGCAATATTTTCTTGTGTTGACAGCTGTATTCCAATTACCTTCAAAGTATGATCAGTTCATGCAACACTTCTATACCTTATTTTAATACCCGCAGCATATTGTTACTATTAAGGGCTTTGAAATTACATTTATCCTGCTGTGTGTTACGGTAGGAAAGAAAAATCACTAGTTTTATAGGACAAGACATGTTCGATTCTCTGCTGTTTTAATGTCAACAAGAATTTAAAAGAAGGACTCATCCTTACTTTTACAGAGTTTTACTGCTGAAATCTGAAGGAGGTGAGGCACAGAACATGAAAAAGGAGGATCCACGGGATTGGATTGTTGACAGTTTTGTATTTAGGGTTTAATTCAGAGAAAAATAACTTTAGACATTAGGCTACAGTGAGTTTTGACACTAAAACCTGCTTTAAACAGCTGATGCTCTAAATCTTCTTCAACTTCCTACTTTCTGAATGTAATAACTTGTGAACAGATATGCAAAAAAGAAGTGTAACAAACCTGTAAAGTTATCTTCATCAACTGGCAGTCTGTGGGCCAGTAGTGGTCTAGAAACCCACTCGGTTTGGACTGCCAAGTATTAACCTATTCGTAAATCAAACACAATCTAACTGTTATCAGTTCACAGGGCACCCATTAACCCAACGAAGGGTCTCTGCAGTACATAGGGGGAGTTTCTTGTTGTGTGGGTGGAGTTTGTTGGAGTTCTTCCATGTGGGCGGGGTTTGTCCTAACAATGATTGTTGGAGTTTTTCCATATTCAAATTCAATTCAATTCAAAAATACTTTATTGATCCCAGAGGGAAATAAGGTGTTGTTGTAACTCATTTAACTAAAAACTTATTGTAGATGCCGATGCTGTGGGCAGGAAAGATCTTCTGTAGCGGTCTGTATTACAGCGAAGTTGAAGAAGCCTCCGACTGAAGACACTTTGTCTTTCTATGACAGTCTGATGAAGAGGATGGTCAGGGTTTTCCACAATGTTCTTGATTTTATGTAAAATCCTTCTTTGCGCCATCATCTCCAGAGATTCCACAGTCGTCCCCAGAACAGAACCAGCCTTCTTTATCGGGTTGTTTAGCCTTTTTTAGGTCCCTGGCTCTGATGCTGCTACCCCAACAGATGACAACAGAAGAGATGACGCTCTCAACAATGGACTTGTAGAAGATCTGCAGCATCTTACTGCAGACATTGAAGGATCTCAGCTTCCTTAAGAAGTACAGTCTGCTCTGTCCTTTCTTGTAGACTGCTTCACTGTTGAGTCTCCAGTCCAGTCTGAATATAGGCATGGTTTGTCCTAACCATGATTCTTGGAGTTCTTCCATGTGGGTGGGGTTTGTCCTAGCAATGATTGTTGGGAGTTTTTCCATGTGGGCAGGRTTTGTCCGAACCATGATTCTTGGAGTTCTTCTATGTGGGCGGGGTTTGTCCTAGCAATGATTCTTGGAGTTCTTCCATGTGGGTGGGGTTTGTCCTAACAATGATTGTTGGAGTTTTTCCAAGTGGGTAAGGTTTGTCCTAATCAAGATTATTGGAGTTCTTCTAAATGGGTGGGGTTTGTCCTAACCATGATTGTTGGAGTTTTTCCATGTTGGCAGGGTTTGTCTTATCCATGATTGTAGGAGTTCTTCCATGTGGGTGGGGTTTGTCCTGATCAAGATTGTTAGAGTTCTTCCATGTGGGCGGGTTTTGTCTTGTCCATGATTGTTGGGTTTATCCATGTGGGTGGGGTTTTTCCTAACAATGATTGTAGGAGTTCTTTCGTGTGGGTGGGGTTTGTCCTAACAGTGATTGTTGGAGTCCTTCCATGTGGGCAGGGTTTTTCCTAGCAATGATTGTTGGAGTTCTTCCATGTGGGCAGGGTTTTTTCTAGCAATGATTGTTAGAGTTGTTCCATGTGGGCGGGGTTTGTCTTATCCATGATTGTTGGAGTTCTTCCATGTGGGCAGGGTTTGTCCTAGCAATGATTGCTGGAGTTTTTCCATGTGGGCAGGGTTTGTCTTATCCATGATTGTTGGAGTTCTTCCATGTGGACAGAGTCTATCCAAACTGTGATTGGCGTAGGTTGGAATATAGGTGGAGGTTCATGGGTAGGCGAAGTTTGTCCAAACCGGGATTGATTAAAGTAGTTTGTCTTGTGGAGCAAGTTAAAAGAGGAAGTAATAGCAATGGTAAAATTGTTGTAAACTTTATCAACTGCATTTTTATTGTTTTAAATGGTAAATGGACTGAACTTATAAAGCGCTTTATCAAGTCCCTCCAGACCCCAAAGCGCTTTAYACTTACAGACATTYACCCATGCACACACACATTCACAAATTTAGATAATAATTATTGTGATGATGTAAAAAGTTTATTGACTTCAAATTTGGTGCAACTAGTATCTTCCTGTCTTGAGTTCTGACTAATATTCATATTCATATTCAAAAGTGGCTATCTTTTTCCAGGCAGGTTTGATCAAGCCAAATGGTTACACATCCTTCCACATGTACAGCGTTCAAATTTCGTGTGGTGAGGACCTTCCTGTCTCGAGATATGACTAAAATATTTATATTTTAAATTACCGGTGCATTCTGACCATTTTAACYGAGCTACACGTCCCCCCAGCTGCCCAGCTTTCTTCCAACCAAATCATTATGGCTACTTCAAACTCCTCCCACAAAAGTCAAACAGACCAATCATGTCTTGGACAAACTCCTCCCACTCAACATGAAACCYGCCCCTCCATTAACCAGCAAATGTTTGGATGCTTTAGCTTTTGGCATTAGTAAAAATTAAGAAAAAATCAGAGACCAAACTTTGAGTTTAGTATTAGGATTACTATTATGTATTACTTTATTTTTAATTGTCATTTCTCAAAGTTTTTCAAATACATCAGCTCACAATTTACCCCAGCAGCAGCTACCTTGCAGTAGAACTTGGGTATATAATGTTTTGTTTTATTTTCTTTCCTCTATAAGGTTGGCTGTCTTTTAATGAGAAGTTAATCAGTGGCAACATTTGAACTTTAGGACACATTTTCAAGTAGTAAAACTGAATCATTCACATCTGCAGAGCAACCCATCTAATCACTTAACCCATCTCTTTTTTCTTAATATTTACACGTTCTCCTCCCATCTTTTACGTCCTCCTAGCTATTTCTTTCCTCCTCGCACCCGAGCCTCAGAAGCATCCTCTGGAGCCTTGAAGACAGAGAGTCAGMGTAATGAGAGAGACAGATTTATAATAGAACAGTCTGAGTATAATGATGGAGAGACGGTGCGTGTTGCAGCCATAGCTAACGAGGGTCTGCGGGGGGCATTAACTATGCATGGAGCCGACACCCCAACTTGCGCCTRTCAGACGCGCAGACACACATTCAGCCGAATCACACGGTCACGGACCGACATGTGTAGAGGCACACGCACACACGCGCGTGATTTCAAAGACGACGAAGCGGTGAAGTCGTCAGCAGAGCCACTGCAGGTGCTGTGTTCAACATGAATTAATCATGAAAGAGACCTGTGATGTTTCTCTACACTTGCTGCTATTTTGATTGGCAGCGGTGCTTAGAGTGAATTTATGCATTACAAAGCCTGAGAAGTGTGCCGGGGTCAAGTAGAGTTCAGGCAAATCCCCAGCGCTGCGTTTACAGTAYTGGAATCGAAGTCAGCTTACAGACACACACGGAGCTGTTAACTTTAATTTTTTTTTTGAGGAAAGATGCTTATTGAAGTTAACTTTGAAGATGTAATGGCTTAAGAGTTTAAAGWAATGAGTGCATTTACAATCACGCTGCAGCAGCTCTTATTGAAAATGTTGTGTACGCCTCCTGTGTAGGGCTGCCACGATTAATCGATTAATCGACGACTAATCGATTATTAAAATAATC